ATCCAACTCTGTATCATGCTAAAGCAGTGACTTCAAGTAAAAGCGTCTCAAGAACAAGCGATACCTCATCTTCAATGATGACACTGAGTATAGTGGGCTCATTTACTGGTTTACACTCTGAAATGTATGTAATATGGATGTGTCCCAATATGTCAGACCACATGACATGATGAGGATTAATTCACCACTATTCCTGCTGTTCATCCACACCCTAAAAAGGACTGAGATTATGATTTCCAAATTGAGGAGAATCTGATTGACAGGGCGAGTTGGCTTAGACCCCCACACCCTGACATCACACTGACACTCCTTCACTACAGCTGCAGCACTGAAGTCATCTGCACTAATGTGGAAGTCTGACTTGTACAATTCCTCAGGCATATTCTGTAATTGTCTAGAAATATCAATAATATTCTAGATAATTTAAAATGTAAAACCAGAACACTGAACTTGTTGCTGGACTTGTCAGCTACCCTCACTGTCTTCTGCGGGAACAGCTCAGTCAGGAGGTCAGCAGGAGGAAACAGTGGACAGTCTTGTACTGGCCAGGCCAGTCTCCACATTTAAATCCTCCTGAGCAGCATTTTACAGGCTGAAGAAAATCAAAACCACAAGAATAGACAACTTGTTGGCTGCAGAGATAAGGATGCTAAGAATACTGAGTTGACTGTGTCCAGACTGCAGGCAGTTACTGGCTCAAAGGCAGCTTCACCCACATGTTTCCCAGTCTTTACTGTCACTAGAAATGACAGCTTTGAACTGGTGTGCTTGAATATGATCAAATGTACGCAATTCCAAAAATAAACTGTATGTTTTATTCTGTTTGTTATTCGTCTCCTGTTCATGAATAAACAGTGCTTGACTGTAAAGTTGTGTCTCATTGCTGGGGTACTGGGTGCAGATCTAGGACGAGTCTTGCTGTACTTAACAGTGCAGGGGGTTGACATGATTTGCTGTGGAACTGAGGGACCTGTGCTCAGGGGCAAACTGAGAACTAGATCTAGTTATGGGAAGCACTTGAGTAGTAACACCCTATTCAGTGGAGTGCTCTGCACTCGGGTTTTAACTGTACAACAGGCTAGAGCCCCTTCAGTGATCTAGTGCTCAGTATCCCGCACTGTCCCGGGACAGATGTGATGGCAGTACTGTACAGCACACCTCGCTTTGCATGACCTCGGCTCATACACATTCCTTAGATTTGTAAGTTATTTTTAAAAAGCCAAGACTGACCCAGAACGAGTTAAAATTTACAACCATTGTCCTGGTGCGAGTAGCGTTTAAAAAGCACAACCCAGCTCAGACAAACAGCGTCTCTGTCGGAGCTGCAGCGCGATGTGAACAAACAGCGTCTTGGTCAACTTCCTGACG